ATATATATATATATATATATATATATCACAACATAGGATCATTATTATATAAATAATTTTAATAACGTATAAGTAAAATTGATAATGGCATTTTACGTGAAAGCATGCAACTTAAGTAACCTATTTAACTACTATAAAGAATAATACCACAACAAGACCCACAGAACTTGATAATGAAGGAAGCAATAAACCCCTTAAAACAAAGTAAGTGTCTTCTAAAATTCTGTGTAACATGTGCAACCCTTCACTACTATTTACTATATGGATAGTGTAGCTAAATTAGTTTTTTTGTTGGGGATGAACCCTCTCCCTTTCAAAAATATAAATAAATAGAACAAAATAATATCTCTAAAAAAATAAACAAATAGAACAAAAGAATATCAAGATGGAAATAAGATTGAGTAGTGTTGTGTGATGACATATGCACTCATAAAGGGTGGAAATTTCAATGTGGCCTTTCGGAGAGTACCATGACCAACAACAAAAAACAAAAAAGAATAAAGATACTTAAGGAGATAATAAAAGTTTAATATGTCATTTATTACTATCTTGATTTTGCTAAAGGGATGCCCGATAGAAAAGTCAAGAGCATTATGATCATTATGAAGATCATTACTTCCAAAATTTTTTGAAGATCATTATGATCTTCCCACTCATTTAGAAAGGGGAAAGTATACATCATTCTTTCTATACTAAAAATGAAAGGAAAAGATTAGAGGAATATTTGACATGCAGATATTAATAGAATAATATTAGCAATACATTTATAAGAATTTTTTTACCTTGAGGACAAAAACTCCTCATAATGTTTGTCTTTGTTATATTCAATTGCTACTCTGAAATTATTCACCTCAAATTCGAGAATCAAAGTTTCAAAACATTGATTTCAAGAATCTTTTTCTTGAGCTATTTCATACCCTTCTTTGTTATATTCAATAGCTGCTCTGTTTATAATTTGTTTTTTGTTTCTCCGTTATTTCAAGAATACAACACAATAGTAAACACTAAAAGAAGTTCCTGATCATATAATACATTAACGTTTAGTTTAACCCAAAAATGGTTTTGAAGAACATCTTGAACAACACATTGTTTTAAAGGGTTTATTGCTTCCTTCATTATCAGGTTCTGTGTATCTTGTTGTGGTATTATTCTTTATAGTAGTTAAATAGGTTACTTAAGTTGCATGCTTTCACGTAAAATGCCATTATCAATTTTACTTATATGTTATTAAAATTATTTATATAATAATGATCCTATGTTGTTATATATATATATATATATATATTGTTTAATGCTAGGTGATAAATCGATGCAGTTGATCTAAAGAGCAAGCATAAGCAAAAACTTAAGATAGCGAATTTGTTTAACCAAGGTGTTTTTTCCCCTAATGTAACGTCCTCTTTTTTTAATTGCATTTCGTATGCTCATTTTAATCTCTAGCTAGTGTCATGGATAGGATTTATGTTGTATTATAAAATAGTTAATACTTTTTTGTAACACAACATAAATCCTTGATGTTGTGCTCATGCAGTATTAGAGATCTGTTGAGCTCTTTGAAGATAATCATGAGTGTGAAGCTAAAAGTCATTGCACCATTGCAAACACGGATGATATCTACGAGGTAGTTTCATTTCAAGCTTTTGATTGAAATAAATTTTCTATTTTTATTTCCTTTATAACTTTTAGATTTTTAATCTTTTTCATATTATTATTAACTAAACAATAATTACTAAAATTATTTTTAATCAAATAATTATTTTAATTTAAATGTTAGAGGATATATCAAATCAAACTACATCACTAAATGAAAACATCTATCTTCAAACAACATAAAGGGAAATTATGTTTCTAATTATAAAGTGAGATAAATTCTCTGCCAAAAAGAAAAGTGAGAGACAGAATAAGCTTATGGTTTTTTATATTATTGTGCTATTCCTTTGTTTTTTCTTTCTCTGCAATAAAGTATAATATGTAGATAGTGTAGACGTGATGATATTGGATGAGCTAGTTAATTGTTTGCTTAAACTTGTTCAATGAGAAATAGATTTAAATTTTAAATTTTGAACTTTAATTAAATTGACATTTTTAACCCAATAAGATCATTGTAACTATACTAAATTATTTTTTAAATCGAAACTTATAGAAAAGATTATGCCTTAGTTTCCGTTTTCAAAATAATTAAAAGCTGACAACATACGAAGTTCATTATATTCTTTTAGCATGTACAAGAAACTGGCCCAAAATAAATTGTTTTTTCTTTATATATATTAATGGTCCATTTATTTAATTTAATTTAAAACATTTTTAAATATAATAAATATTTTTTTAAATGTTTGTCTAAAGTGAGTATTTTATAAGTAAGCAACTGTTTATTTTTTAAGAATTAAATAATTATTTCATAATCATTTTTTAAAATTTTAAACAAATTGTTCCAATATCAATTTTAGCATTCAAATTTATAGATAATAATTAAATAAGAGAACTTTTGAATTACTAGGATCTGTATAATGACATAGAATTGAAATAAAATACCCAACATCTTAAATTTGAACTTTAGAATCATTAATTATAATTTTTACCGGTAAAAAAATTAGACAGCTTCTGGAAATTTAATTAATATTTTACATAAATTTTCAAAAAATTTATCTAATCAAAGTATTATATCGTGGGATATTCATACATCATTATTCTTTGTAATACTATTAACCAAGTATGTAGTGTTGTTATCATCATTTTGGTTTATGATCAATAACTTCTCAAAATACTCATAATAGACAATATGAATTATGATACAATCCAATTTGTTTATGTTAAAAAGAAGGAAAAGAGATATAAAATCTAAACAAATTGATTGTCTAAAGTAAAATTACAAAATATAAACATTAATTAAAATTAACAAGTAAAATTGAAGTTTTAGTAAATTTATAATGCATATACAATTATACCTCACCCATCTACTTTATCTTTCAATTTAAGAAAAAAGTATTAATTATTCAATTAACAAATTTATGTTAATTTAATTTTTGAAATCAAATCATTTATTATTTTATTTTGAATGAGATCAATAAAGAGGTGTAAGAAAAGAAATGCAAAGAAAAAAAAAGTAGAATGAGATAATTGTTAGATTATTTTGTGGGAAAAAGTAAATGGAAAGAATTAAAATTGATCTCCCTTCATGTTTGTTGTGTAAAATGGGGATAAAATGTGTTTAAATAACATAAATAACCCATATAAAGAATGATATTTGATATAAACAAAGGTATTTTTTTATGAAAATGATATTTATTCATATATAAATTAGAATAATGTGTGTAAACTCATAAATATTTTAAAACTATTTTTTTTAAACTTGTCTAATTAACTCAAAAGGGCAGCGCTTCTTGAGTTTCAAGGCAGGGTTTTTCAATTTTTTCCAGTTCTACAGCTTTAGCCTTGAGAGCGTTTTTTTTTTAACTTCTCTTACTGAAGACTAAGTTCCAAGTTTGTTATTAGTTTCATTTTTTTTAAAAAAAATTATTTAATTGTTTGAGCTTGAGAGTTCTATCATACATTTTATTGGCAAAGAAAGTTGTTTTGTCACAAAGATAGTTAGGTTAAGTTCCAAGTTTGTTATTAGTTTCATTATTTAAAAAAAATCATTTTATTGTTTTAGCTTGAGAGTTCTATCATACATTCTATTGTCTAAGAAAGTTGTTTTGTCACACACGTAGTTAGGTTAAGTTCCAAGTTTGTTATGAGTTTCATTATTTAAAAAAAAATTATTTTATTGTTTGAGCCTAAGAGTTCTATCATACATTCTATTATCCAAGAAAGTTGTTTTGTCACACAGATAGTTAGGTGCATTATAAATCTCTCTCCCAAATCATCGTTCTTACAAATTAAATATATATACATAATCCTAAATTCATACAGAATCACATAAGACTAATAATTCTCCAAACAGAAATAATTATAAAATTACTCATAATCTTAAGGGACTTTTCCTCCTCCCAATTCCCTCATGTAACTCTACATACAAATAATCCTCTTTTCTCCCGTACCTGGATAAACAGCAGTTGAAACTAAAACAGAGATCTCTTGGTCTCTTCCTCTAAGTGCCCCTCAATCTTTAGAGAGTGTAGAAGGGAAAGAAGAGAATGTAGAAGAAAGAAGTCAGAACTGAAAGAAGTCAGAACTGAAAAATATGATTTTATGAGTGCCAGAGCACTCAATTTATAGGCATCAGGATTCGCGGAACGACCCATTTCAAATCCGGAATGGCCCATTCTGAAATCTCACGTCATGTGTAAAATTCACATCCAGAACGGCCCGTTCTCAAACCAGAACGGCCCATTCTGGGGTTTGCTTTAAAACTCTCAACAGTCATATTGTGGAACGGCCCGTTCTCAATAAGGTTCAAAGGCCATTTCTGAAATCTGGAACGACCCATTCCCAACTAAGAATCATAGACAAATTTTATGGTTTGGAACGGCCCGTTCCGGACTACCAAAAGTAGGTCTATTTAGTAATTTGGAATGGCCCGTTCCAATTTTGGAACGGCCCGTTCCGGTATACTAAACCACCTTAATTGGGCTCTTGGCCTAGTGAAAATTGGGCTCTCAAACAATCTGTGAAAATCGGGCTGTTACATTTAGAATAACAAACTCTAATTCAATAATTATTATTGGTTGATCTCAAATTAATTTCACTACAATAAAATATAATGACATAACATTAGTGGATTTTATCTCATATGTATCCAGGACTCAATTAATCATCATTATATTTTCTAATATAATTGAAAATCCACAATGTTAAATACCATTAATTTATAGCTTCTTTATAACATCTCATGTTATGTAAAATATTATAATATGAATATCATCATATTACTCATAATTCTCCACTAACTCATGTTATAAATGACTAGCGGGGCCGAGACACTTCGTACCTCTATATGTATTTTATATTCAAATTTAAAATAACTGATGGATTGAATGAATTAATTTGTTGGCATATAATCATATAAATAATTTTACATAATTTATGTGATTATTTTAATCATTATTCATTGATGAAGCACACTTTTTATTTTTTAAATGAAATTGAAAGAAATTTTTGAAATTTAACGTGAAACATGAAGATATTCTTGAGGGTGACTTTGATTTAAAATACTTCTTATATGCCAAAAAAATAATAAAAAATATCAATGGCAGAAAAAGCATAGAAAATAATGGAGGAATTACTTTAGTAGAAGGAAAGGGGACCATAGAGTATTGGATCTCCTTCGCATTGTAAAATTTTGATGATGCAAACGCAAGCAAAACATTAAAAAAATATAAAAATCAAAATTGAAACTAAATTATTGCCATTTACTCCACAAATTCAAATTTCATTTCGACATACATACCTACAATTTCACAAATTATAATTTCTAACATATTTAATTGAAAATGATTGAGAAAAAAAATACTTCTTAATGATGTAGTTATCACAATCAAAGTATTATTTTTTCTTCACCATGTTTTAATATATTCTAAAATTTCAATAAAAAAGAAACAAAGAAATTCATTAAAAAAATATTGGAACATTAAAGAAGATGAGTTAAAATATATTACAACTTGCTTCAAAATATGAATCATACCAAGATATAGTGTGATTGAGTTTGAAATATAGGAAAAATTGAGAATCGATTGGGATGAAAAAATCGTAGAGGGTGATAATGTAAAAAAATGTACGAAACAGGGAGAAAGAATTTTTAATATTGAAAAGATAAAAATAGATAAAAGCATAGGTATGTTCAACGATTATTGTTTTAAAAGAAAATAGTTATTGTTTCAAAAGAAAATAGTTATTATTTTAAATTAAAAGAGAGTTACGACCAATAAGGATTAAAATAAGATAAAGAAAAATGGAGACCAATACCTTTTTATTTCCTTTTGTCTTAATTTTAAGTTATATATAAATTATAGAAGTTATAGATTATGTAGAATAATCACATGTTTTAAGGGTAAAATAGAAAATTAAATGTGGAGATCAAATTAAAGGATTAATATATGTATTGTTATATATTATAAATTATTAGAGTTAGTTAGAGTGTAACAGAAAATATATAAATACTTGTAAAGTGTATTCTGAATTAGTTGAGGAAATGAAAAATGAATATTACACAAGTCTTCTTTTCTTCTTCTCTATTTTCTTTTAACATGGTATACAAAGCATTTTCTTCTAGAACCTGATTACTCATGGAAGTTTCCACCATGCTCGGTTCTTCACCGGTTACGTTTACGCACTCTTTATCAATCAAACTCGATGATAGCAATTTCTTACTGTGGAATCAACAAGTTGAAGCGATTATCACAGCACACAAGTTGCATCGTTTTGTAGTAAATCCTTTAATTCCAGCAAAATTTGCTTTTGATGTGGATCGTGAGACGTGAACTTGATCTTGTTACTGATGCGTATCAACAATGGCTAATTCAAGATCAGATGTTATTTTCGTGGTTGTTGTCGTCTCTTTCTGAACCTGTTCTTCCTCGTGTTCTTGGTTGTAAACATTCTTATGAAATTTGGGATAAAATTCATAAACACTATTACTCTCATCTTCATGCGAAGAAACGTCAACTCCGCTCCGAACTCAAG